CTGTCCCTGGGAGTGTTTGATGGGGGGACAGTGTAGAGAGAGCTTTACTCTGTATCTAACCCCGTGCTGTCCCTGGGAGTGTTTGATGGGGGGACAGTGTAGGGGAAGCTTTACCCCGTGCTGAGACGAGTCGAGGGAGCGTGTGTCCTCAGTTTAACAGCGGAGTGTTTTCCTTTCTCCTCACAGAACTACATCACGGTTGAGGAGCTGCGTCGGGAGCTGCCCCCGGAACAGGCGGAATACTGTATCTCCCGGATGACGACCTACACTGGAGCGGACTCTGTGCCCGGAGCCCTGGATTATATCTCCTTCTCCAGCGCGCTGTACGGAGAGAGTGACCTCTGAACGCCTCGCCCTCAAACCCTCTGCTCTCCACTCTGCCCACTCGCCCGACTCTCTCCCCGCCTCGCACCCCACCAACACCCCCACCCATCCTCAACGCCGTTCCTCCATTACCCGAGACAAAATGGCTGACTGGACCCCACCCCCGGCCCCTCCTTGCGCACCACCCCACCCCAACCCCGGCCCCCACCGTGCGCCCAACATTGTGTTCCCCAATCACACACACACACAGTGTTTACTTCCGTGGGTAGTGGTCTTTGATGTTGGTTGTTGGTGTGGGAGGGTGGGGATGGGGCGTGGTTGGGGGCCTGGGGTGGGGGGGTGTTGGTGTGGTGTCCCAGGGTGGTGTGGTGGGGAAGACAGAGAGAGAGAGAGTGAGAGAGAAGCAAGTTGCTGTGGGGTGGCACCTTCCACCAATTTCCTCTCGTTGTCTCTCACCACTTGCTCACCCTTCACTCTCCAAAGATGGACAACATCCGGTCTGATTCGGCCCCTGGAAATTTCTAGAAGATGGCTCCCCCCTCCTCGTCCCCCCGTCATACCTTTTATCTTGACCACACCCCATAGCCAGGCCACCATTACTGTGTTGGCGAAACTTCTTCCTCACCTCACGCCCTTGTTCGGTGGAACTCCTGGTCGGACACTTCTCTGTCTCTCTCTCTCTCTCTCTCTCTCTCTCTGTCCTCTCTCCTCTCTCCCCACCAACCCTTCCTCCTCCTCGACAGAACCCCCTTGGGCCATTGGAGGGGGGTGCTTGCCGTTTGCTGGACATGCCCTTCCCTGGTGCCGAGGCAAGGCCTAAATCCTGAGGTGTCTATGTGGCCACACTCCACCCCCACAGCACGTCACCCCCGACCGTTGGGATTCTGCTCTCTCCCCTTACCGTCTTCCTACTCCAGCAATGCCCCCTCCCTCGGCAAACCCCCCACCCCCCCAGACGCGCCCAGAAACAGCCTCCCCGGAACTGGGCTCGCTCGGAAACCAAAGGCAACTGCGAAGAGGCTTAAAGTGAAGAGGAATGGTGTCGGGGTGGGTTAGGGATGGGAAGGGTGTTTCAGTTTGAACCATCAAATGTTTGCACAGCCCCTGTATGTGGAGAAAATAAAACTACCTTTCAAACTAACCCTTGTCGAGCATCTGAGTCGTGTTTTCAGCCATTTGTGCATTGCTCAGCCTCCTATCACTGGCTCAACTCAATCAGCACTACAGGCCCGGGACAGAGCCTGCCTTTCCTGCCTGTCTGTAGGCCTCAGTACC